GACCTTGAATTTCGTTAAAAAGTTAGCACCCCATTCTTAAAAAATTATTAAAAAATGATTATTAAGCGCATAAGTCATTAAAAATCATAGAGAACTCTTCGTATCGTCAAAAAGAAGCAGGAATTATCGTCAGAACTATTGTATTTAAAATTAATTTTTCAAAAATTTTTAATTTTTTTTTATTATTCGAAAATTTTTTTTACATATCAGGAACTCTAGGCAATCGTAAATTGAAGCTATTAAGCCGCTCAGAATTATTCCACCTCGAAATTCGATAAAAAGTTAGCACCCCATTTTTAAAAAATGTAAAAAAAGAAATGTTTATTGAGCGGAACTCTTGTTATTAACTATAAGGAACTCTTCGTCTCGTCAAAAGGAAATGGGAACTCTAATCAGAACTCCTGAGTGCTATAGATGGGGTGCTAACTTAACATACCCGACTATTTGCTTATTTGTTTTGAAATATCTATACTTTTATCTATACTTTTTACTTCCCCTTTCTTCTCTGCTCTCTTATTTATCATTTTTTATCCTGATAGCTTTTATTCTCATTTCCTCCTCTTTTCTTTCACTCTTTATTAATTCTTTGTTTCCATCTTTTTGTAGTTCAGAGTTTTCTTGGTATTCTTCGCTCTTCTATATTATCTGTATTGTCACAACTTCCCATACATCACTTATTTTATCACATCCGTACGATACTTCTCTTACTCTACATTTAATTTAAAGTTGTTAGCAGTTAGAAAAATAAGAGAAAACTCAGAAAAGTCAGAGAATCAAGAAATTTATTAATCTAATAAGACGTATAGGAAGCTGGCCCGTCATTGTCAAAATTTTGAAAAAATAAGCAGAACTCTAGAATTCTTTGGGGGGCAACCAGAACTCTGCTTATTTTTTCAAAATTTTGACAATGAGGGGCCAGCTTCACAGACGTTAATCTAAAATAAAATTAAATTACTATAACACTAATTTCTAAGGCCGATATTCATAGCCGGTTTTTTTTATTTTAAGATTATTTTAATATCTCAAGACGCTAATACTACTCTGTTGGCCAAGATTCATAGTCGATGCTGTCCTAGTTTACATCGATTGTTTAAGGGTGCGATTACATGTATATGCAATATGCGATATAGTTACTTACTATGACTAGACAATTGGGAACCGCGTACTGCATACCGCGCTACTTCGTATCTACTAGTAACTTTCTATTAAATCGTCTTAATTTTCAGTAATTAAAAAATAATGTACTATGATAATATATAATATACATCAAGTTAATTAATTAAGTATACATATTATGTATATACACTGTAAAAAAAAGTGCGTAAAATTACATAAATAATATGTGTAACAATTACACAATTTATAGTGGAAATTTGTAAAATTGTGTGGTTTTACAAAAATTAGTTCATTTTATCTCTGATAATGTAAATTTATCTTTACATTGGATGAAAAATTACAATTACAAATTAAGAAATTAATTTTATTTCAATATAGAAAATTTACAAACGCGTGGAAGTTTACAACTATTATAGTGGGTCCCAAAATTACCCTCTATGACTGTTGTAATTTACATGTAATTTTTTTTACAGTCTACTACATTCATGGCAGAAATTAAAATAATTTAACAGAAAGTTACTGATTACTACGCGTATTAAGTCGTGTAAACAAGATCATAAGCTAGGCCATTGTCTTAAGTACGATCTCAAGCTATCTCAAATCAATTAAAGGGTCACGTTAGCATGTTGATAATCTTAAAGAACATACTATAAATATCGGCCTGTAATTTTCTTGTAAAACTTAAGACTGTATTTAAAACCGTCTTAAATATAAGATCCAATTATGAATACCAGCTTAAGTATTTTAATAGTCAAAGATGCTTAGTAAATAAATGTAATAATTATTAGAGTATGCGTGCGTGCGTGCGTGTGTGTACATATATACTTGAATTTGACTCTGGATATTATTTCTTTTTAACTTAAAATATAGAAAATAATCGGAAATTCTTATTTTTTTTTTTTTCAGGAACAATGCAGTTCCTGCTTCTATTGTAGAACAGTTCTCACCTAATCAGCGTTATGATGTCTACTATAATATGAATCATTCCAAGCGTGGTCTAGCTCTTATCTTTAATCATGAATTTTTTACTGTCTCGCATCTTAAGTCTCGTTGTGGTACAAATATTGATTGTGAAAATTTAAAAACCACTCTGAAAGATCTTGGTTTCGAAGTAAATGACTACCACAATTTGACTCAAAAGGATATAGTAAAACAATTAGAAAAAGGTAAGCTGCACTTCAAAAAACATGTACATTCATCACTTCTTTACAAAACTAATTGTATTTAAGAGATATTTATATCATCTCGATCCCGAAAAATTCTCCGTTTTGCGTAAAGGAGGCACGGCAGTGTCGCGCGCTTGGCTTAGCGCCGAGACACTACCGTGTCTCCAGATTTTTAAAAATATGGAGAAGCCTTACTGAAAAATTTCTTATATTACTTTACAATATTTTTGAAAATTTATCATTTTAAATTTGTAAAGATTTAATAATAGGGCATAAAGAAAGTCCGTAAGTAATTGGTCAAAATCCATTTCTTACGTTTTACTCTCTTAATGCTTATTCTATGTCCTATTATACTGGAAAAATCAGCTTACTCCCGACATGTCTTAGGATGTGCTATTTAGACTTAGACAGAAAAGTATCAACCAATCTATAAAACTTGCGTTGGTAGTAAACAGTACAAGCTACAAAAAGCCGAAATGAGCAACTACCAGCGCGATCTGCCGCTTTCTTGCTTCCTGTTTTTCTATCTAGGTCTGAACCTACCCTTACAGCCTTATTACTACTACTGCTACTACCCATTGTAGAAGGCCTCTTAAAAAAATATTATATAATAAAAATATATATTAAGCAAATTATTATTTTCACAGTTGCAGAAATGGATCACTCTGAACACGATTGTTTAGTAGTGACTGTATTAAGTCACGGTGAACTTGGACTACTCTATGCTCATGATAGTGCATACAAAGCAGATTCTCTATGGAATTATTTTACTGCCGATAAATGCCAGACTCTTGCTGGTAAACCTAAGCTATTCTTTATTCAAGCTTGCCAAGGTGATAAGCTGGACCCGGGCATTGTTCTTAAAGAACGTACTGAAACCGATGGATATCCATCCGCTGCAACATTTCGCATTCCTACTCAAGCGGACTTTCTCATTGCTTATTCAACCATCCCAGGTATTGTTATCTGTACTATCTGAATATTACATCATTATGGAGAACTAATATTCTGAAGAAGGTAATTGCCTGACTTAAATATTCAAAATTGATTTTTGGAAATTAATAGGTTATTTTTCCTGGAGAAACACCAGCCGTGGATCCTGGTTTATGCAGGCATTGTGCATAGAATTACGCGATAACGGTACTCGTTATGATTTATTGACTATGCTGACATTTGTATGTCAACGCGTTGCCGTGGATTTTGAATCTAATACGCCCGATAACATGGCTATGCATCAGCAGAAACAAATTCCATGCATTACCACTATGCTGACGCGCTTGGTAAAATTTCCACCTCCAAGAAATGGAGTTTTATAGTCTGTAGGGTAATGAAAATTATTACGTCGCATTTATATGTACCTATGGTACTCGGCCATATCGTTGTAGCAAAGCTGTAAATGGTGCAAGTATCAATTTTATTTACAGATTGCTAATATGATTGCCGCATATTACATGCTAGACATAGACTTATGTTTTATACGTATATCTTTAATGTATCATTTTTAAATAATTTTATATAAACTATACTTGTGTCTCAGTGAAAGAATAATATCTAGATTAATTACAATAACAAAATAATTTTCTTTTTTGTTAGCAGCAACAGATTTTCATGTATGTATGCAAGTATTTTTATTTTGCTCAAATTTATTGTTCCTCCTGTCTTTACCAGGAAAAAACAGATCATTACTGCCAAAATCCCTTTTCTACATTTTTTAATTTTCATTCTCTTATATATTTCTATACGACAAAAAGCATTATATTGTGTTGTGATAAAAATAGCATTCAATCTTTTTTTAACATATAGCATAATTTACAAAAGTATTAAAGTATAAAATATCTGAACATTTAAAAGGAAACTTCAGAAGCAACTATCTCGCTCGTAACATTCTCATTTCATACATTTAAAGGATACGATCCACTTACGCAGAAAATACTTCTTTGATCAATCAGAAGAAAAAATTTTATAAAATAATCAAAGAATGTTTTACAGCGTGAAGTAAATCGCATCCACGATGTTATATAAGTACAAATACAAGAGTTATCGACTGCAAAAGAATATATGTCATATACAATATCCTTAAGCATATTTTTCGTTAATAATGCCGTTAATAATGACACTACCAATGTAGATTTAACTTTAATCTCGATTAACAGGGTTGCCACAAGTCAGGGAAGTCAGGGAAATGATAGGAAATTTCATAATGCGTGAGGGAAATTAGGAAAAGTCAGTCAATCAGTTTTGGAAATCGATTCCTGAAAAAAAAATCTGCATGTATGTACAATTGCTATTAAAAACGAGAAACATTGCAAAGTATGAATCATTCGAGATCAGGGAAAAATCTCAACATTTTGTCAGTAGATCAGGGAAATGTCAGGAAATTTTGCGATTGCAAATTTGTGGCAATCCTGATTAACTTTTTTCCAGTTTTATGAGTTAGAAAAAAAAAAGACAAAAAGTATAAGTTAAACAGACATTGAGATTAAAATTAATCTCTACATTGGTAGACATGGACATATAGTTCAGATATAAATATAAAATATATTTAAAAAAGATTAATAGTTATTTCATATGTCGTATTACAGTAGTTATACCTATAAAAACAGAATATTTTTTAATTATATATTGTAAATCATATATAATGTACATGTAATGATATGACTGTCCTACTTACGATTAATGTAACACACATACATATATTTTATACTAAATCAGTAAAAGCAATGTACACACACACACACACACACACACACACACACACACACACACACACACACACACACACACACACACACACACACACACACACACACACACACATATATATACACTTACAATGAATAATCCCCGGTGAGAAAAATTCTCATATTAAAAAAATTTTTTATATTTTAAATTTATGAACATTTCTGAAAAATTCTTTGAATTTTTTTAGATTTTATCAGTTTTCTTTGGGAGTTAAAACTGAGAAATCTTAGAATATTTCAAAATTCACATGTAAACAAAATTCTAGTAAAGATGTTAACTTTTTCATTATTTTTTTGAAGTTAGGTCACTTTGAGAGACAATAAAAAATAGGTAACTTCAGAAATTTTTTAACTAATAGAAATAATGAAATGTTTGTTTATTACTTTTTTAATAAAATTCTTTAGGAATAAAATTACATATTTGTTTTTTTTTTTAATAAAATTTATGTTGAAACGGTTTAACTGATGCTCTTTTGTCAAATCGACATTACGAGGATTTGTTACTCAGTTGGAAAAAAAAATTTATTTTCTATAAAGTATTTACTAAAGTACATACATACGAATATTTCAGAACATCATTTTTTACCTACGAATTTATAGTGTACTATAATACTCTTATTTACATATTTTTTGTACTTATTTATATTCTAGAAACTCTACGAAAAATATCGATACTAATAAACGTCAAGAAAATTATTAAAATAATAAAAATCTGAGTGAAGGAAAAAAGAAGTCTGTATCTGTGAGACCTATTATGGGTGCGTTCCACTTGACGTTCACACTTGCGAATATTATAATATTTTATCAAGCCTGTGTTTTCAGTATTCCGGAGTTTTGATATCGACAAACTTTCGATTAAAATTACTCAGAAACTAAAATCGCAATAAAAAATCTAACATTTATTATATAATGCCAGCATGATCTTTCAATTGCGATAAATCCGATAAAAATAAAATTGGTGCAGTTGATTCTGAAATCTGAAGATTAAATTCTGAAAAACCGTTTCAGAAGAAAGTCAAGTTTTTTCTTTATTATAATCCAATTGACCATAGTCACTTTCAATCTATTTTATGTGTTTACATGATAAAATACTTGACTAAATTGCATTTAATTTCTATTAATTAATTATTAATAAGAATGTAATATTTAATACCTTTTCTACGCACTTTGCGTATATATTAAAAAAAAAAAAAAAGGTTTTCGAATCCTTTTTGTTATTAAATATTAAACAAGGATGAGATAATGCATGTGAGTGTTGTAAACGTTTAGTGGAACCAAACGTAAAGTGTTAGGTACCTATTATCCAACATTCATAAAAAAATTTGAAGTTTTCTAAAAAAAAATTATAAAATTAAATAGAAATTTTTTTAAAGATTCAGCAACTTATATAGAAAAATTTTATATAGACAATTTAAATGAAGAATTCTAAGAAAAATTTTCACCAGGGATATAGAAAAAAAAAATTGAATATTTGATTCTACTATGTGCATTATAACTATAATCTGCCTGAGATAAAGTAGTTGTAATTTACTATGAACTGCAATTGCAATGAATATTCGAATGTTACAAAAACGTTAAAAACATAAGATAAGTCACATTGTATAATTATATTGTTAAGATGCATTACCTTATCTGCAGATACCGAGATCATCGGATGTGTTGCGTCTATAATTTAATGAATATATGTACTAGATAAGGATTTAAGAGAAAAAGGAACAATTAATATTACGGCTGAGATTGCTATTCATAAGACAAACGGTAACGAAATTTTCGAAACGTGATAAAAGGTCTTTCATAGTAAGAGTAATAAAATTTGTATGCCTTATACACAATCGCTTGATAACTATGATTAAATTATGTAAGACTTACTAGCGTGACACGTATGACATCGTATATTTAAATTTTATATATACTATATATAATAGTAGTTTCTGCGAATCATGTTCTCATTTACTTATTGTTCCTTACACACACCACACACACACATATATATATATATATATACATGCTTATCATAAAAATTTTGTACTATGAGCATATCTTATTTACGACGTTATAAAGCGATTGCTCAAAGATGTAAGATGTCGTTGCAAGATGTCAAATTGCACAATGTCTTGCATTGTGTGTTGTGATAAGTGTGTGCTAAAAAAACTATGTATGTCACATAAATTTATTTAGAAATTACAGTTTTCAAAAAATAATGTTACCGAAATATTTTCTTTTAAGCAATTTTGCAACGTCTTTATATACGTAGCATTAATGGTACTTTGTGTGCTTGTATCGTATATATTTGTAATATCTTTCTATACACGAACTTGTATACAAATTTACACAATAAATTGATAAAATATAGCATATCGATGTTGTAAAATATTGTAATAATACAGTATATTATAATTATTGTAATTATTAGATGATAGTCACAATAGATTTTGTCTTGAGTGTCTTCAGTGGATCTTCGAGGTCCGTTTCCCTTCAGACTCTTTAGTATCAATTACTAGTCGCATGCAAGGATACTAAATACTTTTCTTTAGAATGCATTTAATTCAGTGTTTACTAAAATCTTGTAAAAAAAATTCTGAGACTGCGGATTTTCCACATATTTTTGTTCAAAATTCTATACATAGGTAAAATTGGAGAATTTTTTGATACAATATTGAAATAAATTGAATTATAAATAACACAAACTATTATAATATAATTTAGTAGCGGAATAGACTCCATAAGATTACCATCATGTTTTACAACTAGAATCGTAAAATCTGTAGACTGGTATAATAAAAAAAAGCTTAGATAAATGTTCACCTTTACATAATCCGTTCCAAATGACCTCTAAGTGACCTTGACCCTGTAGGAGATTAAAGTCACTGACTTTTTCCATCGCTCGTTGCTCGTTGAAAAGTTTGGAAAAAAATGACTTATTCACTATATAAAACAGACATTTTCCGCTAAAAAATATATTTTACATATTTAAGTTTATATAGAATTATTTATCGGATATAAAGGTGCCATTATTTTGAAGAATTGTGGTATTCGTGCATTATAATCGTATTATCTTTTAAAGAAAATATGACTGTTATTCATATTATATATTAAAAGTACTATTCTACACCACTCCCTAGAAACACTCTAATTTCTAGGGAAGCGCGAAGCAACTTTCACCCCATCTGCGCCCCTGTCCTATTCATAAAAATTGTTTTGCTCATAACTTTTCCATGAGCAAGGAACGACGGCAAAGATCAGTAACTTTGACCGTTTTGAGGATCAAGGTCACTCGAAGGTCATTTGGAGTGGGTTGTGTAAAATTGAACATTTCCTAAGGTTTATTAAATGTATTATCAACGAGCTTCTGTTCTGTTCTGAGTCATCATTTTCTACTGTCACTCTAATTTTCTTTATAAAAACTTGCGAGATACACAAGAATGTATGTAAATATTCGCGAATATATATTGTGAATGTAATATTTGTTACTAATCGATCATCAACATTTTACATTACCAAAGAAAAATGATTAAAAAAACACTGTTTTTAGGAAGACAAAATTTAAATTTAAAAATAAAATCTTATGAAAATCCATACTTTTCAATGGAAAAGAAGAAATTCCCTAGAAATTCTAGGTTTTTCCATATCACAAACAGACAACAAACATTGCAGTTGACCATTTATATTATATGTATAATATACATTTTATATTATAAATTTCAGTTTTTTTTACATTAATATTAATGTTTACGAAACTAAAATTACTAGTCCCGTTTTCTTCAAATTTATAAATTTGACAGTATAAATCATTTTTATATAAAAGATATGACTTTTAAACGTGTATATAAGAGTAGAGGTAATGCTAGTTCATTAAAACTAGCAATGTTTAAAATGTTATTTACTTATCTAAAAATTATAATGGTTTTCCTCTTAATGCAACTTATTTTTACAGTCATTTACAGTTTTTCATTCATAACGACGTTATATATACGTATAGATTTCTTTAACTTATAATTAGTTACTGAAGTACAAAATTTACAGATGCTGCTATTGAAGCACTTGACCAGGAATGTTAATTACCGTTGTATCATTTGATAATCGTTGTGATGTTTCTGGCGCTGTATATGGACGGATTAGTTTTGTACTTGCATAACTTTCATTATGATTGATACTTAAATTCGATGGATCTAATATTGTAGTCATAGTCATAGTTTGTGTACTTTTCTCTCCAGCGAGAATTTCTACATTAGACGTAAGATTTTGTGAAAGACTTTCACATTCGATAGTCGATTGTTCAATTGGAAGAGGAGCAGTCTTATTTTTTCGTGCGAAAACTTTCATAATGCTTCTCCCTTCATTGGTACCTACAAATATTTCATATTAATTTGAAGTATTAAATATTTTATTCCAATATGTAATAATGTTCTTAAAAATAAAAATTCAAAACTAACGGAATGAGGAGCTAAGCTGGATATTTATGCTGACATAAATAATTTAATATACATACATATACATACATCAAATGATAATTTTTTTCTTTAAAATAAATTATTATATGTACAAAAAGGAAGTTTGTGGTTTAGAATTTAATCATTAACCGCAGTTCTTAACACATGATGCTATCCTTACAATAATATTAAACTCGCTGTTATTTATTTAATATAACCGAACTCGCTGTCTTAAATCGCGCTAGAGGGATGACTCTGTATAACTTAACAGTAATGGAATTTGATTTAGAGTGGGTATGTTAAGTTAGCACCCCAACTATAGTACTCAGGAGTTCTGATTAGAGTTCCCACTTCCTTTTGACGAGACGAAGAGTTCCCTATAGTTAATAACAATAGTTCCGCTCAATAAACATTTTTTTTACATTTTTTAAAAATGGGGTGCTAACTTTTTATCGAATTTCGAGGTGGAATAGTTCTGAGCGGCTTAATAGCTTCAATTTGCGATTGCCTAGAGTTCCTGATATGTAAAAAAAATTTTCGAATAATAAAAAAATAATTAAAAATTTTTAAAAAATTAATTTTTAGATACAATAGTTCTGATGATAATTCCTGCTTCTTTTTGACGATACGAAGAGTTCTCTATGATTTTTAATGACATATGCGCTTAATAATCATTTTTTAATAATTTTTTTTAAATGGGTGCTAACTTTTTAATGAAATTCAAGGTCGCATAGTTCTGATCAGCTTAACAGAACTATTTTGTGAATACCTAGAGTTCTTGATACATAAAAAACATTTTTGAAATATAATAAAGTTTAAAAAAAATAGTGGAGATCTTTAAAAATTTTTTTGAGAGTACCGAGTAATTCTGAGTAACGTTTCTTATAGTTCTCGACGAGTTCTATCGAAAACTGTCAGGTGAAAAAGCGATTGGATCAACGGTTTGCAAGATACAGCGACATTTGTCAGAAGATCAACAATTTTTAGAGTATATCTCAGAAACCGTTGGTCCATTCGCTTTGAACCCTGATACTTTTCGACAGAACTCGTCAAGGACCGTCCAGAACTCCGATCAGAACTACTCGGTACTCCCAAAAAATTTTCAAAGATCTCCACTATTTTTTTAAAACTTTATTATATTTTAAAAATGTTTTTTATGTATCAAGAACTCTAGGTATTCACAAAATACTTCTGTTAAGCTGATCAGAACTATGCGACCTTGAATTTCGTTAAAAAGTTAGCACCCCATTTAAAAAAAATTATTAAAAAATGATTATTAAGCGCATATATCATTAAAAATCATAGAGAACTCTTCGTATCGTCAAAAAGAAGCAGGAATTATCATCAGAACTATTGTATTTAAAATTAATTTGTCAAAAATTTTTAATTTTTTTTTATTATTAGAAAATTTTTTTTACATATCAGGAACTCTAGGCAATCGCAAATTGAAGCTATTAAGCCGCTCAGAACTATTCCACCTCGAAATTCGATAAAAAGTTAGCACCCCATTTTTAAAAAATGTTTATTGAGCGGAACTCTTGTTATTAACTATAGGGAACTCTTCGTCTTGTAAAAAAGTGGGAACTCTAATCAGAACTCCTGAGTACTATAGTTGGGGTGCTAACTTAACATACCCATTTAGAGTACTTATTATAATTACTATAGATAATGTATTTTAAAGAAAGAAATAATGATTTGATGTATAGAATTTAGGGAGTATATGCGTCGCGAAAAGTGCAGATCACGCGCGCGCCACGTTGGACACCGGAATTTCTGACGAGAATATGCCGAATACTATATTGAAAAAAAATTAATAATATTAAGAGAAGGCTCGACAATAATAAATAAAAATTAATATAGTTTAACGGGCAACGAGTCAAATTAAAATAATACATTTGAAAAGAACAAAGACAATATATTTAATAAACAATAAACAATATAACAAACGTTTCGACACCGATCGAGTCATTCTCAATGTTAACAAAAATTAAATTTTTAACGGAAATTTACAATAAAACATTGTCTTATTAAACATTGTATTATTCTTTTCAACTGTATTATTTTAATTTGGCTCGTTGCCCGTTTAAACTATTATTAACTTTTATAATAGAAAATTTCTGAAAAAAATAATTTGATATACAGCTTTATCTTTGCGCCTCCTTATTAATTAACGATTAACTAATTCAATACTATGTATGAGGTTTGTCTCATCTATATCAAGTTGTGTTCGCATTTTGACACGCGTGGACGTAACATATACATTTATATAATTATTATTTTATAATTAATATAGGTACGTACCATTGCAGGATTCACTTATTAAAACTTCATCCTGGAATTTTAAAAGAAAATAGTAACGAATTATAAGAATGGGAGATTTGTCATTAGTTTCTAAAATAACGAATATAAAGGCTATATAATAAATAATAGAGAAAATATACAGGACTCTTATTTGCCTTTATTCGTTACATGTCTTTTTTTTATATAATCAATATTGTATACCTTTGCCGCCAAAAGATCTTTAATAGGTTTAAATGGATTAGAGTGTATAGATATTCTCGATGGTGTATTTGATTGTGCCCGTTGAATGCTTTTATGTTGATAGCTCTGCAACTGTTTGACCCTACTGTTCAGAACAGCGTAATTCTTTACGATAATATCTAACAGCCATCTGCCAGAAAATAAATTCTAATTATCAATTTCATTAAACTCTTATTTCGCGTATAAATCTAAATCTTCTTAGTATAATTCTAAACTTACTTGTATCCGTCCTTTATGCCCATAATGCTACTCTTGGATTGCTCTTTGTCATAAATGCACGAACATGTTTCTACTCTTGTTGGACATCTCATAGCATTGGCTGCATGCTCTACATCAAGATTTTCAACAACATCCAGCTCATCGATAGCTCCATTCAGATCTTGTTTGTTGGCGAGTCTATGCAGACATTATGAAAATCTAGGTAAAATTTGCATCGATGATACTACGCGACTTATTAACATTCTTGATCATTATATGCACACAAATGGTCTAATTTCCTTTTTCGTATGTGCGCAAGCAAAAATATGTGCAGAGACATAATTTCAGATCCCTTACAACAATATTGGTTTCGCCGAAATATGCTCGTGTGTGATTAATTCATTAAATACAACTTTATTCTCTGCAAGACGGGAAATATCGCTAGCATCCACCACGTATATAAGACCATGTATCTAAAAGACAATTGAAACAAAGCTTCTGTTTGCTTTAGCACAGATATATAGCAAATAGATAAAATTATTTAAATATCAACAGAATACACTATAGGCGGTATCCATAGTCAATAAGGTCTTATTTCAATACCGTCTTAAATAATGTCTTCAGATGTTAATACAGCTCTCTGGCTCACGATATCTTAAAACTGTACTTACAACAGTCTCAAATACAAGGATTGACTATATCGAAGCCTTGTATTTGAAAATTTTGAATATCGGCCTATTTGTTTCATTTATAAGAGATTGATTTTTAATACAGATTCTTTTTATCCTTGTTGGAAAAGAATCATACAATTGAAGTCACTAATGCAATAATTTATTTCCTGCAACGATTACTGCGCTTGACTCTTATTTGCGCTTTTTTTACTTAATTTCAAAAACCAAACATCATAGAGACAAAATTCCAACGCTAGTTTGAAGTGCTATTCCTCCTTTTAAAAATACATTTAAAAAAATCTTTCTACTATTTTTTTCATCGAGATATTTAAGTTTTTGTAAAATGCAAGAAAACCCGAATTTATGATTATGACTTGTATATACACGAACAATTAAAAGATGTTTATTAAAAGAAAATAAAATTTTTTAATAAAAACATCAATCATCAATTTCAATAAAATAATTAATGATTATTCAAGCATTGTATGTCTTCCTATTCTAACAAGGACAAAATTGACATGAAAGGTAAATAATAAAGAGGCCAACCCCTTAATAATATTACATTAAATCAAAAATAGTGTATTTTTTAGGTGTTCACATTATTTTGTTTAATCTCTCTAGCAGCTTATTGTCTCACATTCTTATCATAAAAATTATTTATGTGACTACTGTCCTATTTTATAAAAATCTACACAAAAATCTATATAAGTGACTTACATCATTGTAATATTTAGGCCATAATGCTCTAATCTGGGAGCTACCTCCAAGATCATATATCTTCACAGAATATGACTTATGCTTTAAGGATACCATTCGAAATCCTATTGTAGGCAATACATTCTGATCTGAATCTGACGAAAGTATTAAAAATATTAGACCAGCCACATACTTTTAAGTATTATAATTTGTCAAGTTGTCAAGTATGTCCAAGTTTATTGAAACATTTGCTGATTTGCAACTGTGTAGTTTTAAGCACCTGTTCCAATAAATTTATATAAGTCTTTACTGAAAAATCACAAAGTTACAAAATCATTTAAGACAAATAAATCATATAATGGATTGTTTCAAATCAGTGATTTTTTACAATCACACAATTTGAAGTCACTAGCACATTCCTTGCGCGCGTTACGCGCGCGATGGTCCATTATGCTCTTTTTAAATATTATGAATTATGTTTCTTTGAAACTTGTTTTGAAATCAACAACTCCTCTAATTCCTACTAATACAAAATTTCCATGAAATTTGAAAACCTTTAGAATTTCATTGTTTTCGATCGACACATTAATTCTACCATTTTGATAAACAATATTTAGCTTATTTTTTTATTCAACGTTTATATCGAAAAATTCGACCCACAGTGTAGTTGTGCTGGTTCGCGTACAAGAGTAAAGTACATTAAAGCAATCAATTGCCGGGATCATTTTGGTCTTAAAATGTTTCTAGAATTATTTGCTCTAAGAATATCCAGAATCCGATATTTTGCTCATCGTTTACGTCGAAAAATTCGACCCACAGTGTGGCTGTGCTGGGTCGCGTACAAGAGTAAAGTACATTAAAGCAATCAATTGCCGGGATCATTTTGGTCTCAAAATGTTTCTGAAATTATTTGCTCTAAGAATATCCAGAATCCGATATTTTACTCATCGTTTACGTCGAAAAGTAATTTTTTTCAGTAGGGGTTGCTTCTACATATACTCGACGGGTTTACTTGAATACATGTAGAGTATTTGATTTGAATGTGTCATGCTGTTACACACATTTACTTGTACATAATTTGAATTAATTTTTATATTTGCTCCAATTATTTGCACAAACCAAAATAACTACATTTTTGTCATTTATATGCTCTAATAAACTTGTACAAATAGCTTGCACACTTGATAAATTTACTTAACCCTATAAACACTGTATTTTTGTATCCTTGAAATACACATTCAAGTGTACTTCCCTATGACCCCATTCATATTTGTTACCATAACTTCTATAAAAATGGATGTATTTCAATTAATTTTTTTCAATAAATACAGAATTGATTCAGAAACAAGTCCAGGATATGTAAAAGTCGATACAATTAAGGAACTTTGAGATATGTACATTCAAAGAAAAAGAAGTTTAAAAATGCAAAAGAAAATTAATTTAGATTTCTGGGACACCAGTTTGTCTATCTGGAGTTAAATGCGTGTAGCCTTATATAGCAAAAAAAATTAATGTCACATATATCAATAAACTTCCAGCAACGTTTAGTTTGACAGTAAATATATTTTTAATTATTAAAAAATTTACCACCACTAATGTGATTCAGTATTGTAGACTTCCCAGCATTATCCAGTCCTATAATAAGTAGAACAATATTCCTGAAATCATAAAGAGGAATGTAAATAAAAGGTCATTCCTTGCATATCTACAATACGTACTTTTCTGAGGCGGGATTTTTTCGCAGCCTCCTTAGCAGGCTTCTAAGGTAGTTGTTCATCGCGGGACAAGAGATTTGTGATCCCATGCTACTTGCAATACTAATTCGTCTTAATCGCGCATTCAATCATTCATCGCGAATAATTCCGTATAATCGACATCGTGCATACTATAAATCCTTTCACACCTTTAAATCGGTTAGTACACGTATCAAATTGGTGCGGACGGATTAAATATTTGATACGTTCTTATTTATACCGATTTGTGACAGACGAAATTAGGTTAGATTGTTTACATCAAGCACTTAACTATAAAGAGTACGGAGTTGAATCCATTTGAGATTGAAGCATGTTTATGTTTGCAACACTGGAGCGGTCTGAATATGGCGGCGTAGGGAGTGATGGTAGGATTGGTAGAAATCCAATCTAATGTTGAGGGGGGGGGGAGGGTTCGAGACATTTTTCATTTTACATACTTCAAAGTTAAAATTGATGAAATAATCTATCCTACAGGATTTTAGCACAAATTACGTAATTTATTATTCTATTTTGCATTACTAATTTATTATTGACGTGCTATATTACGTGTATTTGTATACATTATTATGAATATAGTCTTTAAATATTATATATAAATATAAAATGTAGCTTAAATAAATAATAGTATCAACAGCTTATTTAATATACATACTACAAAATATTAATTCAAATAAAATTATTTTGATTGAAAAGTTAGTTCATTTGTTTTATTCACAGCAGCTTCGACAGCATTCATCATAGATCCCCTGTATTAAATTATTAAGATAAATATCTGATTATTTAAAAATTAAATCATGAGATGATTGTAACAATTATCTATATCAACTATAGTTGTTTCATTAATTATTGAAAGTCTTAAAATGGTCGAGAAAATATGTTCCTAATGATATGTTTTACATTTACTCACTTAAATTTTATATCTATTTAACAATGACTAATGATATATAACATGATTTTGGAAATACCTGACTCCTCCCTTTTCCATAGCATGAATGCCAGTAATAGTGGTACCTCCAGCCGAACAGACTTCATCTTTCAGTTGACCAGGATGTCGTCCGGTTTCTAATACCATTTTTCCAGCTCCTACTAGCACTTGCGCTGCAAACTTAGTTGCCAATGGCCTTGGCACTCCCATTTTCACAGCTCCATCTGCTAATGCTTCTATGATGAGATATGCCTAAGTAAAAATGTATTGGTATAATATGCAACTATTTCCATTTCTTTGATATTGTAACAATTATTATACAACAACTTACAAATGCTGGGCCACTACCTGATAAACCACCAATGCCATTCATAAGACTTTCTGGAACATTATGACTCATGCCGATATAAGAAAATATTGAATCCACCACTTCCATATCTTTTAATTCGGCGTTGTTGCTGCAATAAACTAAAAATTACACTTATATTAACACATTAATTTGCATATTGCTATATTGCAACTTTTTAATGTACCTGTAATTCCTTCTCCAATCATCATGGGTGTATTTGGTATGGATCTAATTATTCTTGGTGAAATCACAATCGCAGAGAGTTTCTAAAAACATTCGTACAAATTATCATAAAAATCGAAACTATGACACAATTTAACATCTCTTTCCAATTCTAGAATTAGAAGGAATAAGTTAAGGTTAAAGTCTCGGTTAGGAGTTAACCATAAGATGTGGAACTGGGCCTATGTTATAATGTCTGCTTTACTTACATCATACAAGACTTTAAGTGTTACTCCAGCGAGTACTGAAATAAAGAGTTTGTTCTCAAATTTTTTACTTTCTTCTTTCCCTACAATAGTCTTAAGTGCATCGTCCAACATATGTGGTTTTACTGTCAGAAATACTATGTCACAGTTATTTACAACTTCATTGTTTTTCAACGTCGGATGAGCTCCTAGATCCTTCCAAAATTCATGTGTTCTCTCCGTAAGACTAGAAACCCAGACATTATCTGAATTTAATATACCTGTCGTAAGAAAACAAAAATATATTTAGTGTTTCTATATATTTGTCAAAAGTGAAATTAAAAGTCTTTAAAAGTTGACATCAGATATTGTCGCCTAACCAATTTTACTATGAATTAAAAACAAATATTTTATTATATATTACGAAACAAGACACTGCAGAAGACTGTAAGTCTTTACTGTAAGTCGGAATATATACTGAAATTCGTAAATGTTTGTTAAAATACACTGATTAACATTACTTACAAACCTTTTTCCTCGTTCATCATTTTATATAAATTTTACTGTACTAAATACTGAGCATATTATATTTTTATTTATTAAATATTTTATTATAATATTGTAAATAAATAGTTTATAATACATAATAAAATTGATTATGTAACAATATCTGGCATATTGGCTCTTAAAGGTTTTTTATTTCCCTTTTGATTTATTTCATTAGAACCGTAGACATGTTATTAGTATATATTAATGTTGCCCTCATATTCATTTCTATCAACATTTATTAATTTTAATTTCAATTTAATTTGCTCATAACTTTTTTTAATTCTTAGTATTAGAGAAAGACACAAAATTTAGTTACGACAAAATTAAAGCAATTAAAAATTAATTTAATTAAAGCAAAATTAATCTATTTTAGTAGATGGATTTTGATTATTGTGTGATGAACAAGTACGTTTACCTTTGCGAATTAAGCCAGCGCCTATAGCACTAGCCATATTTCCGCCTCCAATAAATCCAACTTTGGTGGATTTTAGATATTGTTCCATCAGAATTGACTGCGATTTACGTATTAAATAATTATACGCTGAAGCAGTAAACAATTACCACGTGTGTTTGGTTAAAAATGTATATGCATACGTTCGTACGTATAAGTACTATCGAGAATAATTGTATTTTGGTAATTGACACCAGTAGGCTTGTTGGTGTTTACATTAATCCCTCTCTCCTCACCAATATTAATGAAATTAGGCTTATTCGACACGTTATTGCATGAAATGAAAGAATCTGAAAGAAAAAAATATCGCCTGCCCTGCGAATCGAGATATTAAATGTTAAAGACAATTATCGAGGTTATCAAATCTGTCACAGTCACGCAACACTGATACGAGCACGAGACGAGCATGCGCTGTGGGACCTTTAGCACATGCGTTTTGTTACTATTCCGTATGTATGTATACGTACAAGAGTGCATGAAATTTAAAATAAAGTTAAAAAAAACTCAATTAGTTACTCCTGCAACATTTCTGTCATATATGTATAGTAACCGCCTTTTTGTAATAAATATTAAAATTCACGGATATAAAATTTACATTTATTACCACATATTATACATACGTATCCACGAAAAGAAAATTGCGTTTTGCTGTCTTAAAAAAAATTATTACAAACTAGTAATAAAATTTTGTAAAAGATATCTGTAGTAAGCTATTTGATATATATTTTCTAATAATACAATATCCACACTATCTACATACAAAAGTTGTAGTATTTACTTTATTTTAAAAATGTACACTTTATTGTAAAAATCTATTCTTTTGAGTATTCTACACATCGTGAAGGATCTGTAGGATAGTATTCCTGGCACTTAGTCATTAATCTTTTGAGTGCTTGAATGTATTTTCTCTGAGTTTCATCGTTCATGACATGAGCAACATTCTTAGAGAAGATTTTTTCTCTACCAGTACGAGCATGGATACCAACCATAGTTACACCAATAGGCCAAGGAGAATTGCCTATTGCCATTTGTAAATAGGCGTCGCTAGCCTAAAACAAAAATTTAATTTTGTTGTAGATACAAATCTGTAACAATTTGCTATTATTATCCCTGATAGCAAAGCCTGTAAAGATAGATTTTCAGTAGAGCTTGATATCAACTTTTGATCATAGAAAAGCAACAGATTGTACATAGTTTGTATTATCTAACATTGTCAGTAAACTGTCAGAAATATGGCAAAACCTGCTAGACTTCAAAAATAATAAACAGTAAAAGACTCTGCTCTTTCAAAAATGGTGATAAGAAGAAAGGACATTTAAGAATCAGTTAAACCTTATTTAAAATTATAAAGTCAAGGTATAAAATATAATAATAAAAATAAATTACAAAATATAAATCAAGAAATAAACTATTACATGTTTTGACCATCTTCAGATACAAAAAGATGATAATTAGTAGTATACAACAATAATAGAATGAAAAACAAGGGACTCTTTTGTCATGCATAATGGGAAGAGATTTTTGATTGACTGAGCATGATTTTTGTTCTATTATTGGTGTGTACTACTAATTATCTTTTTTTATCTGAAGATAACCGAATTAAGTTACCGAAACATGTAATATTTTATTTCATTTACATTTTTTAATTAATTTATTTTTTTGTAATTTATTTTTATTATTACATTTTGTCTTGACGTTTATAATTTTAAATAAAGTTTAACTTACTCTTAAATGTTCTATCTTCGTATCACTATTCCTGTTAGACTTGTTATGTCGGCAGATTGATGATACAAACTGAACAAAATCCTGCATAATCTGATGGCAAATTGAGAGCAGAGCCTGAAAAAATTTACTTAGTTTATGTCATCAATTTGCTAGTATACTCTATTAGAAGGCTTTGTTGACAAATCCATAGCTAAATGTAGACACAGATGGCTATGATTTTGTAAAACTAATGATGGTTTTTAAAATCTGATCAGGTTTACTGACAATTTGGTCCAAAAATGCTAACATTTTGCAATCAGGGATATTTATTTTACATGTAATGTATCACATATGTACCAGTATATAGTTACGCTGTAATAAATGTTTAACAATTTCTGTTAAACTGTCAGTAATATCCTCCGGAAGAGATTTATTCTTCAATTTTCTTAGAAGCGGTTTTAAATACTCTCTTGTTTGAGCATACGTGGCGCTATTCATCTTTCCTTTTGTGCTCATTTTCTCAGCAGTTGATCGGCTGTTCAATTGATTACCCCATATTTGAACTAGATATTGCACAAACAGGGTGATGACATTCATATCAAAGTCTTTGTCTCCTTTATTTAGTTTAGTTGACATCTTTTCTATATCTTCATAAGTAACACTCTCGTCAGGTACGTTTACGTCTCCCTTTCCATCAAGATTTTGGGATTTAGAAGATGTCAAGATCTCATTAAGATATGCTTGATCCACTTGCTCCATAGCCTCTTGAAAATCGTTTCTGAAGCCCTATTGATAAATTATATTACAATCAAAATTTCCATTTTAAACAATAAATAACGACAATATGGGTAACAGGAGTCAGTGTAGGAAATAATGTAACAATGTCGATTTTAATAAATTAATATAATGTTATGTCACATCTAAAGCTGAACGTACATTTTACATGGCATTATATTAATTTATTAAAATTGACATTGTTCATTTGCTTATTATCATCAATACCGTCTCCTATTGCCTGTATTGTTATTATTTATTGTTTATGATTGTCTCAAGAATTCTTTTATATTAATTTGTTTTCATTCTACACTATTTTTTAATTGAAAGAAGTAATACAACAAATATTTTACCTTATTTACTTCTGGCTCAAGAATTTCACATTTCCGTAATCTTTTGAATGCTTCTACCTCAGATTCACCAAACAATAATATGGATTCTCCCCGTTCACGTAATCGTCTAATTACTTCTTGCCTGGACAATAAATGTTCGGAACTACTGTCTGTTACTTGTTCTTCCGATTGCTGACTGATATTTAACAAAACAGCTTCATTGTTTCCCTTGTCAGTTTCATATACTTCCTGTTGCTTTGATATCAACTGACTTCTCTTGAAGTACTTCTTATTATTTTCCTAAAAGACATATTAATATGAATATTAAAATGCATTACAATCATACAAAACACTGTAAAATCATAAAATTACACATCACACACGTAACATACCAAGACGTGACTTTCTTCTAGCTCTTTACGCTTCTTCATTATTTCTGCTTTTAGAATATCCATTTTATCAATAAATATTATAATCAGATCAATAAAAGTTCATACCAAGTTATACAAATAGAGAACAAGTTTTATATGCTTTTATTCCAGGAAATTAACTTCATTTTCCAAGAAAAAATTGTTTTCTTCTTCTTAAGGCCCCTGTTTGGATTTCTGACAAACTAATCATATGCAATAAAAAGGACGAAGAATCCAAGGGAAACCCGTCTCAAACATTGACTAAATTATACTCATTCAACACGTTTTTCCATAAAACGAAAAAATCTGGCAGAAATAAGCGTCTCTCTGCTCCGCGAACCACGATATTAAGTTCTATTGAGGTTAGGATAGATGTCATGGGTCACGTAAGGTCTGCGCAGAATACATGGAATGTACACTGGAAAGTGGAATATACACTGTTTATTCCACAGTATATGATGTCTGATAGGTTGAAATTCTTAAGCTGAAAACACAATAGGCACAGGCAACAGGGAATAATGATCCGTCCAATAAGAGCTCTGGGATATAATATCGAACTTATATCCCAGAGCTCTGATTGGACGGATCATTATTCTCTGTTGCCTGTGCTTATTGTCTAATAAATTACAAAATTATAGTATCGTATATTATCAGTTTATATATTATTCATCACTGAAATTTTAACAGATACTTGAACTTCCTTAAGTGCTGTGCGTCTTTAATGGTGTCCCGTCAGTGGTTCTGTATTTCATTTTCGTGATACGGCTGATGCGGATGTGGCGGCAAGAAGTACCCGCCCTTCCGTTTCCGTACGACGTGCGCACGCGTCGACCGCGCGCCGCGACGCCATGTTGACAGTGTCTTCCGATTGACGAAGTGTGAGAGATAGAAAGGGTAGACAAACAGGAATTTAACAATCGGCCGCTGATAATCTGGTGCAGATTCTCACAAACGTGAGAGCTGGTCGTACTGTCGTAACTTTCACACAAGCTGCCCTGTTAAGCCGAGCCGAGAGAGTCGACGGTAAGTGCTGATGAGCGGTTGGCACTGTGCCGGGTACTCGGAGTACGCCGAACGAAGCGATTAATCATTGTCACCTCGCGTCCTCCTCCTGGCGAAAAGACGGAAGTTTATCACGGGATCCGTCTCCCGGAGAAACTATGTATGTCGAAGCTGTCGTCTTTAATTGAAACCACGTCCTATTGTATCTTCTCGTTATCTTCTGAAAGTGAAAAGAAAAGAACGTGTAGAATTGGAGTAAAGTTTGGAGTTGATTTTGGATTTTAGTTTAGGAACTGCGCGAAAATACGCCTTATTTGCACGAGAGAACAAGAAAACTGCAATTAGTGTCCCTTTCTGCATCGAGATCGATCGCGTCGACATTACATTTTCAGTTCTGCAATAATATATAAGGCTGGAATCGTAAGGAGGATAATGAGTGAGAGAAGAAAAGAGTGAAAGGGGGGGGAGAGAGAGAGACAGAGAAGGGGCAGAAAGCAGCTGAGATTTCTAGCTAACCATCTTCCCCACTTTCCTGCGGATTTACTTGCGCTGTTTGCATTTGGCTGCACTTTTCAAACAAAACAAAAAATAAGTTTTCTGCAAATGAATCTATTGTTCTTTTTTTTTTCTTTCTCCGACGTGTAAATGTATATCTATTTCATTTTATATGTATAGACGATACAGCGCGAGGACCAGAATTGTTTGATCTTGATTTTCATGGTACAAAATAGGAAAACTAGGAAGTAATAGAAAGTGCAGACAGAAAAAATTCCGTAAGCCGCAAAATTTATTCACGCGCAGTTCTACCAGTGTTGGATTACCATTAATCCTTCAGTAGTCACGTAGAAATCAAACTATAGATCTTATAAGTATGGACCAAAGACATAGAGAATGGACTGCGCGATCCCGTATCTAAAGTAGTATGAAAATGTGGTCGACGAAAATGAGAGAGAGAGGGTCCGTGGAAGACGGCCAATCTGTGTCTTTTTCTAAGATTGTAATTGGTTCCTCCCTAATCGTATAGGAACGTGTCACGGCTATCGATCGCCCTTTCGTAATATCTGTGCAAGTGTTTAATTTGTGTAATTTTATTTGATTCAAATAATTATAAAAAAGAAATATATAATGGTATTCACTTGTTGGGTATGCAAGTGGCGAGGAGATAAAGAACCTAAAAGATCATTTCATAGGTAGGTACATATTAGGTTAGATTCGTGAAAAGTTTAATCATTTACAAAGTTTAAAAAATTTTTTTTATGTGAAAATATAAAATAAATAATGAAATAAATATTACAGGTTTCCTTCTGATGAAAATCAGAGGAAAAAATGGAAGCATATTTTGGGAATTAATAATGTTGTTTTGGGAACTCGAACAACAATTTGTTCATTACATTTTACAGAAGACTGCTTTTATTATGGTGTTGATGGAAGGAGATTAATAAAAGAGGGCAGTTTTCCATCCTTATATCTCTCAACACTAGGTAATAATTTATTAAATGAACAAATTAATAAAAAAGATACAAGGACGCGCTATATAAAAATAAACAATAACATGAAAAGAGATTTTATATTCTGATTATACTTCCTTACATTTTTTTCATTATATGCAGCAGTTGCATCTGTAAACGAAGAAATAACTGAATCGTTAACTAATAAGCCTGAATGTTCTACTACGAACATTGCCATAAAAAGGTTATTGTGTGTTTTATTATAATATTTTACCGCTGATTATGAGATATACACACATGCACGCACACATACAATTAAAGCTTCATAATTTCTGTTTGATACGTTTTTATACGTTTAGATCTGGTGAAATCATTGAAGATGAAATTCCAAACAAACAAATTTGTTTGGAGAATGGGCTTTTGAAAAGATCGGCTACTTATGAATTTACAGAATCTAATTTGCCGTTACAATATTTAAAAGAAAAAATGATTTCAAAAAATAAAGAAATTTTGTCTTTAAAACGGAAAAATTTGCGATTAAGTTTAAGTAAGTCTAAATTAAAATTTCGCCTGAAACAAGTGCAGAGGAAGAATGCAAAGTTAATATCAGAAAAAAAATTGATGAATGTAAGTATTTTAATTGCTAAAATAATATGAAGGTTGTAAATAAATTTTTGTATTCTAGAAAAAATTGGGATTAATTCCTAAAACTTTATTTTCTCTACTTCAATCCAAGAAGAAAAAAGTTGCATCTTATCCTCTTCCATTAAGAATTTTTGCATCAACAGTATCTTTTATGTCACCAAACGCATATAAATATATTCGAAATGTTTTCCCAGTACTTCCACATCTGTCTACCGTCAGGAAATGGCATGCTGAAATTGATGTAAAATCAGGTATTTGTCAAGCGACATTAGAAATATTAACAGAAAAACTTGTTCAAGCTAATAACACTGGAAAAAAGCTCTTATGTAGTATGATGGTTGATGATATAGCAATTAGGAAACATGTAAGATGGAATGGTAAATAATATACTGGTTTGATATTTCAGAAACATGTACGAATACATTAACGAATGTAAAAAGTAAAGATTTCTCTTCCAACAATTTTATTTTAGATATATCTTTTGAGAAACAACAAAATACAAATGATACATCAAATGAGAGTGCAAATGAAAATTGTATTTATGCAGTATTATTAGATCATAATTACGCTACTCCTGCGGTTTTCCATAATGTTAAGATCGGATCTATGTTAAAGACGTCATTACATATATAGCAGGTTTTGTAATTAAGAAAATTTCTAAGTCAATCAAATGTGTATCATGCAGGAAGTTGTTAACAAATTATGAAACTATCTTCTTTACAAGAAATTAAAAATAGAGGAAAGTTAACTTCTGAGTCTGTGGATGTAATTGAAATATGTTTAATCACAGAACGTACTTTTAGAGAGATACAAATTTATGAAACAGAAAATGTTAAAAATGTATTAATTGAAAAAATTATGAGAATTCCCTTATATATTTTAGATAATAAAGAAAATTGTACATAGAAAATTTACCACTAAAAAAATTTTAAATAAGTTTTTTCATGTTCGCTTACATCACGACAGTACTTGTAACTTTCCGGAAGAGGTTAAAATAAGAGCTAAAAATACAAAAATTATTTTATTTAAAAGTCAATAACATGTATTTTTAATAAAATTTTGTTACTGGTACAAAATAATTCTAATCTTTTTATTTACTTTTCACTATTCTCGGGGCCCGGAATATTGCAATTTCGCCGTTGAGTAGAAAAAGACAGATTGGCCGTCTTGCACGGTCCCTCTCTCTCATCTCTATCGACCATTGTGACACACCGATCGCGCAGTCCATTCTCTATGTCTTTGCTTTTCAGATGCTTCTCTTTTTCAAAGTGTACGGAAATATACACTAAGTATGCATGTTAAACATGTGAACACATGTGGCGCGTTAACATTGCATCAGAATTAAAAATAATTCAATTTATATCAAAACAGTAATTATACAAAAAATAAAGGATATTTTTCGTATATAGTTACATATATTAACATATATTTAGGAATGTTTATACATATGCATGTTTCTATATATTTATATATTTGTAAGTAAAAAACTTTTTATCCGAATATAAATAATGCAACTATAAAATAATTAATTGTTTATCGTTTAATAACAAAATACGGCAGTCGGTTTCTAAATACTTCAGTAATTAAAAATTTATTTTCTAATTAATAAATCGTAATGAAACTTCGCATACTGAGTATTTAGTTAAAATATTATTACTTTAAATACTTAATTTAGCATTAAGTATTTTGAATACTTAAAGTATAATACTTACAAAAAAATTTAGATTTTTTAATTTAGATTTAATATTATTTTTTAAATTTTAGTTTATAACAATAAAAATAATAACAAATAAAATAAGTAAACTATAAAAATGTGTTGTTCAATAAAAACAGAATATGTATAGTTTGTTTAAAATATAAATATTAATACATTTTTAAAAATAATTCAGGTACATCCTTAACTATTGCGATTGTAAACTGATACAGGACTTTTTGATTAAATTTAGTCCTCTCTACTTGCTCACGGTGTCAAAAAGTTTAGGACGTCTTGTATACTGCACGATGCCATGTATCCTCTGATCTTTTTTTTTTTTCTTTTTTCTCTTGCAAGTATTTATATATATATATATATATATATATCTTTCCTGAACATAGCGATGTCTGACTCTACGGGTGATCATGTAGATGCGTTGGACGAGGAGCCGGACGTGGAGTCCAGTTATAAGCCTCCACCGGAAAAATCCATCGAGCAAATCTTGGAAACGGACAAAGAAGATGAGAGTTTACGGAAGTATAAGGAGACGCTTCTAGGAGAAGCAAAGTCTGGCGGTATCGTAATAGGTGAGGGCATTTACTTTTATAAATATATAATCAATACCTTAATATAAAAATACATAACAAATTGTGATTGCGAGAATATATTATATTTATAATTTTTAATAATAAATTAAAAATTGTCATATTTTTACCAGACGTTTTTGCGCGAAAGTGTCGTACGAAATCATTATTAGCCATCGCTAATTAACCAATCCCGTCGCCATATCCGTTATGTCATATTTGCTTATTTATATCATGTTTAATCTCAAAACTGCTGACATCCGTAAATTTATGACAGCAGTAAATTTATGTTTTAAAGTAATTGAATTACTGTTTTAAAAACAAATTCATGCGTTATATGGATACATCTATACAAAGTGACGATTTCCATAACTGTACCGTTGCACAATAGAGGGGAGGTGGGGTGGAAGTCGCTTCGCGTAGAAAGTCGAAACCCATGTGCAACAGTACAGTTATGGAAAAGTTGTACGCCCCTTTAAATGAATCTCTTTACAATATGTAGCAGGCGTGACGTGACAACATTTTAAATAATTATATAATTCTCGTAGATCCTACTGATCCTAGAAAGGTAATAGTGAAGAAATTGGCGCTGTGCGTCGCTGACCGACCGGATATGGAACTAGACTTGACCGGTGATTTATCGCAGCTGAAGAAACAGACGTTTATCATCAAGGAGGGCGTGAGCTATAGAATCAGGATCGATTTTATTGTGCAACGCGAGATCGTGCATGGATTAAAATATGTTCAAAAGACTTATCGCCTTGGTGTACCTGGTATGATTTTTATTTTTTCTCTTTTATATTTGTATATAATTGATATCATTCTTAATAATTACAATAAATTTGATTGCTTGTGTGTTAATGCTTCTAATGCAAATTATATAGGAATTACGGGTAAATGTAATATACAATAATTGGAGCATGTAGTGTATGATAGAATTGGACATTTATCATCTTTTGTTACAGTTGACAAAATGACACATATGGTAGGGTCGTATCCTCCTAAAACAGAGCTTCAGTCTTACACTACTCCAGCTGAGGATGCACCAGCCGGTGTCGTAGCGCGAGGTTCATATAGCGTTAGTTCCCTTTTCACAGACGATGATAAACATGAACATCTCAAGTGGGAATGGGCCTTTGAAATCAAGAAGGATTGGAAAGAATAAATCGTCTTCTACTCCACTTGAAACAAAACCGAAGGACGATTTAATTTACAATTCCTAATCTTTCTACTTTACGAGTAATAATTAAGGACATAAAATGCCAAAATGCAAATTTGGATGGATGAATTTTAATATTCTTTAGTTGTGGTTGATGTTGCCATAAGAAATATTTACATATATTTTAAGTAATAAAAGAGGAAGAGAAATCATCGGTATTTATTAAGGTTTTCGTAATTGATTAGATATTTGATTATAGAAACAGAGAATTACAAAGAATACATATTCACATACATACACACATGATATTTCACTCTAGTACAAGCGTCACATCAGTAGTAATGATTTAAGCGAAACATGATGTAACAAATCGATATATTTCCGGACAAATAAGTATTAAATGCGTAGCGAGTAAAATTATACAGTGAACGTTATAGTCAACAAGTTGATTTATACATGTACATATATACTATATATATGTGTATGTATGTATGTATATGTATAAAATAAAAAGTACTCTAAAATTTAGATACTTATATAACATGGTTTTCGGAAAGCAATCAAATTCTACTTATGTTTATCATACATTTGAAACTCTATACGGTGTATAAAATTAAATGCTGAATATCTATTATTAAAAAAATTTGTAAAAGATGGTTGCAATAAGGAAATGCCAGGGTAGTGCTCCTATTATTTACTACTATAAAATATTTGCAAGAAAAAAACGTTAAATCTCTGAAAAGTAGATTTTACATTAATTACATGTATCATATGTCAGCATAGGCCGGTATTTGTAGTCTATTCTTATTTTAAGACAATCTTAAGTAATGTCTTCCCTGATGGAAATAAATCACTGAAAGTAACTATAAAATCATTGAAATGAGAAATAAAAATGAAATGAATTATATATGTTGAAATATTGTTAGAAATATTTCAACATAAATAATACTTACATAAATAATAGTCATAAGGTAGTACACTTGCAACAATACCATCCAAAAGTTAAGTCCCATCGCGCACTAATTACCTCGGTAATCTAAAGGCTTAGGACTCTCGCACGGAATGCCAGAGATCCGGGTTCGACTCCCGGCTGAGATAATATTTTTCGTAGTACAAAATTAATTTACAGTTTTTAATAGATTATTCAACATTAGTAAGATCGATAGATACGTAAACAGCATCAATAATTGTTAAATGGTTAGTCAATTTAACTCGTGATATTACTGCGGTAGTTTATTAGTGTTGCGTTTCAAGTCTGAAAAAATTTCGGCGTACAATCGAAGAATTATATGCGTAGTATATAATAAATTCACACACAATTATTCAGAAGCATCCGTGTTCCAGCTTAGATCGCTGTGGCATTGCCTCATTTGATTTGAAATTTAGCGGTCCAATAAGAATTGATATTATTCTCTTTTCGCCGTGTCTCGCTTTCTTTGGTCTGCTAGTTGCATTTCTATGATCGTATTACGCACACTGGCTTAAGCGCTATCTCTTAGTCTCCTCTAATTTTTGTTTGTCAAGAGGTATTGTCTTTTTATCTTCTCGTAAATTTTTTTCACTAAACTGTATTATATTTTTGCGTTCTATGTTTATATTCATGTATAAACATATATTTCAACCTACAGTATTGCTCATAGTTTGTTACATTTCTCGTAGACGTTATAGCAGCAATTTTTGCTGGTGCCTTACCAATCTTAATTCTTAATGAACTGTAATAAAATCATAATAAAATTTTAATGAATTGTAATAAAATCTGAATGAAATAATATTGAAAGTGGGTCAATTAATATAGATTTCAATATAAAGTTTAATAATATATATTTCATAATTATTCATTACAATTTAGAAAAAAATTTCCATCAGAGTTAAAATGTTAATATGGCTTTATGGCCGGTATTTATAGTCCGTTTTTATTTTAAGATGCTAATACTAAGACCTAAGTAATGTTTTAAGATGCTAATATAGTTCTCTGATTTGTTCATAACATACCTTAAGGGAATCCTAAAGCCATTTGCGTCTCATTGACACATCACTACTACATCAATATCACACGCACACATGTGTACAAAATTTTTAACTAATCATTTATATTAGATATCTAAGTTTTAATTCTAAAAACACAATTCCTAATTTCAACCAAGATTGTTATAAAACCAAGATAGTGATAATGTAGTCGAAACCGAATATATAAATATATGATATTTCAACCGAATATATATATATATATATATATAGATATATATATATAAATATATTCGGTTTCGACTACATTATCACTATCTCAAGAGAGAGAGAGAGAGAGAGAGTAGTTAGAAAAAAAACTTATTTGAAAGATGATAATCGGTAAAACAAACGACTTTAGGATCCCCCTTAAGACTGTAGTTAAGACATATCTTAAATATAAGAATTAACTATGAATACTGGTCATAATATATTTTAATTACAGTAATTGTCGATCTTACAAGCAAAGTAGACTATAGCTAGATTTCTCATGAAACACGTGATACATCTCTTCCAGTTTTCACAGACACACTTTATTATTGCATAATATAAATCCTATATGTGTGTATTGGAAGTTCTGACAGCCATGTTCTTCGTGGAAAGTATATTGTAGCAAATGTGTTAATCACAAAGTAATTGGAATTGTTGAGAAGCCCTAATCATCCTGAAACGCGCACATCATATTGACAGCTGTTCCATATAAAAATGTGCATAACATGAATGGCCATACAATGTAGTGTCTTATGGCATTTCGTCGATAGTCATATAACGATCGGTCGTGATAGCCGTGCATTTATATTATAACGAGCGATGAAAAGTGGTATGTGAAAAGAATATATTAATAGTATAGACATTTTATACCTTTGTTACGTGCTTCACGAGAGAAACAAGTAGATTGAGAATAGTTATTTTAGTGGAGAAAATGATGCAAAGTATATATTGATATTTTTATGCCTACGTAAAATTGAACCGTCTTGCATTTTTCATTTGAAAATGGCATATTTTTCCATTTGACGCCTATTATGCCTTTCCGACAGTGTCTATTATATCGTCAAGTAGCAATCCTCAAATTTCCTCTACGGCTCTCTTTCTTTTAATACATTTGTTCGTACTTTGTAAGCTAAAAGAGAAAGAGAGAGAGTACGTATGTTGAAGTTGTCTGGGATTAATTAATTAAACTTAGGATTTTTGTGTGTACTTCATTGTGCTTTGTATATCAAGTGTATTCATTTGTTATTTTAGGCGTAATATACAATACTTTATTGTATGCGGCGAATGCAGTTATTGTATAGTAAATATACAACTTATGTCAATACTTTTTGTCAATACTCCTTTTATCCTTTTATCAATATTATATTCTGTAACTTTATATACGGTTTTCTTTTCATCTTTAGATGTAAATTACTTTTTTTCTTATGAATTATATATTTGAGTTTTTAAACAATTGAGGAAATTGTAAAATTTACGATACAAATTGCGAAATTTGTTCGAAAATAATTATAAGATAGAGTGATAGATCTTCTGATAAAACATTGCGTAATAATGGCATCATAAATTGATAACAATTTTACAATAATTGCTTTAAGATGATTCTCAATAACAACAGTTTTATTAGAAAAATTTATAAATGATACTTGTTAAAAATTAGATAAAACTAATTTACGATGTAAATATTTTCACTTTTTCAAGAATATAATAAATAAGATGCGAGAGGCAGCATAATGAAGAAACAAATTAGGACTCGTTATCCAATTATTTTCAAATGCTTCATGAACACCTTCAAAAGATCAGTTTATATATTATATATTCTAAAAGCTTTAACTCTAAAATTTTTAATTTAGTTGTATATAATATTTCATATTGCAATATTTCTACATTATATTACTAAGAATAATGGCTGCGTTCAACAGAGAAAACGAATTAGCGATTAATAATTCTTTAATGTGTTTTTGGTTCCTATACTCTTAGATTTAGTAAAAAATTAAAGGCAAGAACCAATCATATTAAAGAATCACTAAGCGCTAACCGATTAATTTTCTCTGTTGAACGCAGTCAAATGTTATCGGGTTTTCTACAAATACCTCTCTTGATACTAAGGAAAAATTTAGGATTATACAGATATCATATTGATTTTACAATAAATCGGTAATCTTAAAAACTGCAAACTGGTTTGAAAATATGTAAGAACAGAGTCCTAAAATTTTTAGATTTATATTTTCTTTGAGAAAATATAATCGCTGTAGGTATCTCTTGTTTGAACATTTGGATTTAAGTGTACTTTCGAACATATATATGTACATATATTTGTATGTACATAATATTTCGTAACATATCCGTATACAGATCTTGATCAATTTTGATTACTTCAATTTACTTCTCTAAGATATCTATGCGTGTGCTTGAAATTATATATATGTATATACACTATATAGATTCGTAATGGATTATATTCGTCGCTACCGACAATATCTATGGCGATCTCAACAACTCGGCCACGGTACGGTCACGGCCACGGCCACGGTCACGGTCTATTCCGTCACTTCTGCTTTGATCCTCTGTCTTTTCCTCGCGCGCACACGCATTCTCTCTCTGCGGTCAGCGAACTTAGCTAACGCTGCGTTCACGCAGCGACGTGTGTATGTGCGCGCGGTGTAGTACATCGTACGATGTTTGCGCCGAAGAAGATATACATGTATAAAACGCGAAAAGACGCGATAAAGTATGCAATTAAAATAATGGAAAGTGAAAAACCAATTTGCCTGTTTCTCTCTCTCTCTCTCTACCCCCCCGTCCCCTAATGAAAAAGAAGGGTCACGAAGTTACATAACGAAATTATCTAATTAAAACAAATAAATGACATAACGGAATGTTCCAAATCAGTAAGTGGTTTTTTTTTTAAATCACATAATTGGAAAAATATCTAATATTAGAAATAATAATAATTTCACTTATATATCATATGATTTTATATAGTTATCGAATTTTAAATATTAGACAAAGATAGAAGATGAAAAACGTATTATCGTATAACTTTTCAAATTACGTTTAAAAAATCACTTACTGATTTGGAACATTTATTCGTTAC